ACCAAGATTAAAATTAATTTACATTAGTAGAAATAGGCAAATGACGGACGTTGTGAATAACGTGGGTAATTTTGATACATTCTCGAGTTCAAAGATAACGAAATCGAGACTCTATGTAACAACAAGATTGAACGTACAACGATGTCGCTACCACCGCCTATGCGCGCACAAAAAAAATACATTTAAAGAAACCAGTCGAAAAATGTGAGAAAAATCGGCGAAGAAAAGTTTAGAACGTACGAGATTTGTTATTCTGTATCAGATATGGTGGGTGGTCAACATCTCACGTGGCGTGGACGAGTTCATGAAAAACATGTGATACGCACCAAAACTGAATAATTGTCACTTACATTTTCCGCTGGAGAAACTACTGTTCGATACTGAAGCGTCACTTAAGCGTCCTCTTTTCACACAAATTCTCTCTTTCAAAGATTCTGCATGATTCAATCTTTCTGCGATTCTTCAAGAACGTAACCCACTGAAGATTCGACCAACTCTGGACGCTCTAAACTCTGAACAAGCGTGTGCCTACGGCATGAACTACACAAAAGATTTCCTTCCAACGCTGGACACTGAACGTATTTACGCGGCAAGAGACAACCAATCACCTTCCGTGACGCCCTGATGTCACTTGCAGCGCAATTGGTTGATTGGTCACCATGGAAGACACGTGATCAGAAGGAAACGCAATGTATGGCGCTTATGAGTAGCGAATTGCTACATATAATGAATGTAGGTAATTGATGGCACACGATTTCACAAGTAATAACGTTCGTTTGTTAGCACATACAATATCTAATCGCGACAATGTAATATAATGATGTCGTGTCGAAGAAGAAAGAATAATAAAGAGAGTGTATCTAGATGGACAATTGAGTATAGTGTATAGTTCGTGAGGGCGCGTCATCTAGTTGCGGATATGTATGTTTATAAGGTATGCAGTCACTGAAAACGTGCGAGAATGTGTGTGTGTGTGTGTGTGTGTGTGTGTGTGTGTGTGTGTGTAGAAGTGTAAATGTGTCTCCACATGAGTATCAATTATCCTTGTTTAATATTTACAAATACAACAAGGATGAAAGGACGCTTAAAGCGTGTGAACACCAAAGCGAACACAGCCACGGTAGTCCTTCGTGATTACCAGAGAGAATCAAGGGAGAGTGAAGTGGATGCCGCCATTTGTTAGAGTGAGTAGAAGATATGGTAGAAGCGTAATGAACATACGGTGCTGCACAGTATTGTACCGCACTAGTGTTGTGTATATATATATACACACATACACACACACACACACACACACACACACACACGTATGTGCACCATGCCATTTGCGGAAGTGAATGGAAAAATGGCGAAACCAATCGGAGATGAGAACGCTATCTCTGTGATTACATGATTGGTCGATTGATCTGGATTGTTCCCGAACTTGTGGATTTGGCGCTAATTTTGTTAATTGTATTGTTGCGTGGCAAAATCCATCGTCATTTATTTAACGAATGATAAAGAATGTAAAATATGGCGAACGAGCATAGTGGAAGAAACCCAAGTGTACTTGTTTCAAGTTTCAACACTTCCAACTCGTTCTCAAGACGAACTTGCAGAATTGACCTAATCAAGAGTATCGAGTCATTTTTAGAAAGAAAAAGAAGATCAAAGAAGTAGCGTTCTTTATTTTAAGTTCCCGAAGCGGTAGGATTATTAGAAAAAAATCAACATAATTAATAAGTAATAATTTATAATTAAATGTTTCAAAAACTAGGAATTAAAAATTATTAACCGATTAAAGGATTATTAGCAAAAGTGTGATAAAACACAAAGTGTGATAAATATTCACACAAGTATATTAACATAAGTAAATATTGACATATTAGTAGAAAGGTCCAGGTTTGAATTTTAGATGGAATTATATTTTTCGCAATAAATTTCTTATCAAGTATTTATAAAATATTTTTATTTTGAATTGCTTATCAATTTATAATATTACGTTTTTCAGCATTTTCAGCTTTGGCGTTTCAAGACTGTATGATAATCTGTGTGCGATTCAAAAGCATATAAAGATGGAATGTATAAAATATCATTAAGCACATGTACGATTGCCTTTCAACTTCTACTGGAAATTGACAATTCTGTTGAAGATCTCACTATATTCTGTTAGAGATCGCAGACCACGCTTCTGAAATTATTAGATCAATCGGAAAGTTCCGTCCATCTAGCGGCAAGTAACTCTAGCTAGAACTGTCGTGTATAACTAGTTAGAACTGTGTGTGTAACTCTAATGTCTAAACTAAACTTAATTTTTTAGTTTTATCATCTGTCAATAAAATTCAGTATATAAAAGTATACATTTGCATCAATAACATTGCTTTTTATTGCATCGAAAATGTCGACATTTGAGCCAAATAAGCGTCATTTGCGCGAAGTGTTAATCTTTTGCTTCAAATGGAAGAAAACTGCAGCTGAAGCTCATCGAATGCTTGTAGAAGTTTATGGTGATAGCGCTCCTTCCGATAAAACATGCAGAGAATGGTTTCGACGTTTTAAAAGTGGTGATTTTGATGTGGAAGATAGAGAGCGTTCTGGACGGCCAAGAGCATTTGAAGACGAAGAATTGCAGGCATTGGTGGATGAAGATCCATGTCAAACGCAAAAACAACTTGCAGAAGCATTAAGTTGTGCTCAGTCTGTTATTTCCGATCGTTTGAAAGCCTTGGGAAAGGTCTACAAGGAAGGAAAATGGGTCCCATATAAACTGAAGCCAAGAGATATTGAAAGACGAAAAACCATTTGCGAAATTCTGCTTGCTAGGCAACAAAGAAAGGGGTTTTTGCACCGAATTGTGACTGGCGATGAAAAGTGGATCTATTTCGATAACCCCAAACGCCGAAAAACCATTTGCGATCCAGGCCAGCCATTGACATCGACGCCAAAGTGGGGTAAACACAGAAAAAAGGCAATGCTCTGTATTTGGTGGGATCAAAAGGGTGTAGTGTACCATGAGCTGTTGAAATCTGGTCAAACAATCACAGGGGATTTCTACCGAGAACAAATTATCCGTTTGAGCCAAGCGTTGTACAAAAAACGACCAGAATATGAAACGAAACAGCATAAAGTGATTTTGCTTCATGACAACGCTCGGCCTCACGTCTCAAAACTCAAGGAAACGTTAGAAGCACTTCGCTGGGAAGTGCTACCCCATGCGGCTTATTCACCAGACTGTGCCCCTTCCAACTATCACTTGTTTCGATCGATGGCACACGCACTTGCAGAAGAATACTTCAATTCTTATGAAGACGTCGAAAAATGGGTCTCTGAGTGGTTAGAGGTGGCTTCCAAAGATGAGTCATTCTTTCACCGCGGAATTCGCTTATTGCCCGAAAGGTGGGAAAAAGTCATCGCTAACGATGGACAATATTTTGATTAAGGATTTTTTCATTTTGTTTTTTAAATAAAACCATACTTTTTGCAAAAAACGGATGGAACTTTCTGATTGACCTAATATTACTTTCTTGTAGTGTTCTCTTTAAAAAAAAAAATCAGATTTGGCCTTTCTACTAAAAATTGGATTGTCACTTTGGATTTTTGGGAGAAGTTAACACACATACCGGAAAAAAGTTACTAAAATTTAGAGCAGATAGTCGAAGATTTACTTTGGGAGTTTTTCAACAAGGGACGCAGACAATACGAAGTTAGTGTTCGACACAATGATTGTTTTTCAGCTAGGACACAAAACATTACACTGTGTTCTATTGTATAAGATATGGAATACAATTTCACAGTTTAACATCAGAATGCATTGTGGTCTTCCATTCTTATTCTTATGATTATATTTAACATATCAACAACAGATTTATGATTTTCATTTAGATTCCATAATTTTATCAAAATTGGCAAATTTTTACGGTTTTATTACAAAATAAGTATGATTTCCAATTATGATACAAGTCACAATCGTACACAGTTAAAATACTGTGTCGTTATTTTATATATATATCACTTCACAATATCAAATTTTTATATTATTTCATTACCATTATTTTTCTAAGAATAACATTTCGAGAGATAAAAGTTTCAAGATTATGTTCGGTAATATTTTTTTAGTGTACGTGTATGAGATCTTTTCCTTTATTTCATGACGACGGTAAAGTAAAAAGACTAGGCAATGTTTCAGTTACAAGTCAATGCTGTAATCACACAACGTATGATTATGTTCCGCTGCTAGAACTGAAGCCGTATCAAATACATGACTATTAACTATTTAAAAAAGAAAAAAAATTCAGTATGCTATATAAATGTAGCAGTCTTTTTAAATTACAAATAACACTACACAATACTCCTGTATCTATCACTGTTTAATTGTACCTCCTAGCTGAAAAACTCTCTTTGTTTGTCGAAGAGTTGAAAATTCGTTCAAAAAACCAGAGTCTCTAACTAAAATTGGAGATGGCATGTACATAAAATCCTACAATGATAAAAAATTCAATGTAAAAATATAAATCAAAATATTATTTGTCTTTTTTAATAATTGATAATATATATTTTATTTTTTGTAACCAATATTAAATGTTTTTTTTAGTGTTAAGAAATCTAATAATATCTTCGATCCAAAGTCAATACGAGCCTCTAAAGTGTGGATAATACATAATAATACAATTGTGAATTTTGAAAATACTCTTTGTCCATAAATGAGCCAATTGTTTTATACTTGATTGGTTTATTCTTGATTATTTTATTTTTATTCATTAATTTTATTGTTTATCGTATATTTTTTATTGTTAGTTAAATAGAGTTTTTTGTTTTTTTCTCTCAAATAGCTATATATAAACACATTTTTTTTCTTTATTTCAGAAACATAAGAAAAAATACTTTTATTTAATTCCACTTTTTATCCTGTTCTTTTTCGCGCGTTTTAACTAAAACAATTTGTTATACCTAAATGCTAGAGAAATAGCGATATTAAATTTACAATGTATCATGATTTTTTATTAAAATATTGAAATGTTATCCTAATGCTATTTTCATTATTCATTTGCCATCTTTCGAAATTTAGAGAGAAATTTACATATCAAGAATTTAACATGTAAAGGAAAAATCAACAAATGCATTATACATACATACTCGGTACAATTGAAGGTCTGGCTAAGAACCAGCCAAAGTTTATATTCTCAAATATTACAAAGAAATCTATATATATGTACAATATATACGCCATATATTTACAAAATCTTATTCTCGTTTTGCTACTATTTTTAACATGAAAATAATGTCTCTCACAAGTGTAATTGCAATATATAATTTCAATGAAGAAAAAATCACTAAATTTTACAATACAAATCACTAAAGAGAATGAGTTTGGTTGATTCTTGTAACCACACCTACAGTTGTTATTAATAAAATTTTATATTGCATGATATATATCCCATATTAAAAATTTATACTGTATTTATAATTCATTATTTACAAGAGTCACAATTAATTAAAATATAATTATTACAATAAACTATAAAATAATCAAACAACAATGAACTTGCCATAAAAAATTTAACATCTGATCGATCAAGCTATATGCACATTTTGACAAGTTAAATGGATGGCAAGAGGTCCCTTGGACTTGAGCTGACTGTTTCTGGCGTGTGACCGCGTTTCTGAGCACAAGTATGACATGTATGAGTTTACCTCTTGGAGGTAATAATGGCACTTGGCACTTGCATATGTATCCTATTATAATGTATAACACTGGAGAAGATGTTTCTAGAACCCGTTAGACGCGACATAAATATAAAATTCGCTTTTTAAATTTTTGATCATCCGGAATTCATAAAAATTTTTAAATTTAACATAATGCAATTTTTCTCATTCACAAATCCCGATTATACTTATTACGAAATATGACAAAAAATATAAAAATATAAGATAAAATGCGACTGTAATCACGTGATATGAGAAAAGTATAAATAAATGCAGATGTCGCCAATTATCTCACATGATCGAGAGAGCGTTATGTCCTAGTACAATTTCCTGCTAAATTAAAAACGCGAATATTAAATAGAAGTCCCTTATGCTTTTTGCATTAAAAATCGTTATCCCAACCGGAAATATCGTCGGGTGGCGGTGGATCTGAATCAGCTGGATAAGCATCGAAATTCGTAGTGTCTGTAGCGCCTTGAACTCGTGGTAGTATCGGGGGTTCTAAAGTTCTCGTTTTTAAACCTTCCCAATTAAAACCATCGAACCATCTATAATGAATCCATAGGAATATATCGTTCTGATCTTTGATTTTAAAATGCTAAGATAAGAATATATATATATATATATATTATATTTACTTATGCTTCTGTATTTCACTAATGCCACCTCTTTGATATCCAAGACGTTCTGCTGGATTATCCCTGAAAAAGAACAATTAGTATTGTTAATATTAGTCAAATATATGCTATAAATATTTATCACGAAAAAGGAAGAAACACTAATATGTAAAAGTATATCGCAATTTACCTGCAAAGTTTTTTGATGAGTGCCATCGCGTTACGCGTAATAGATCTAGGAAATTCTATAGCGTCGATTCCTTTTAAGATAATATTATACGTCTTCATCGGATCAGCACCCGTAAAAGGAGGCGTACCCGTAAGCAACTCAAACATGAGAACACCAAGGGACCAATAATCAGCGCTTATGTCGTGACCTTTATTTAGAATGACTTCCGGTGCCACATACTCTGGTGTACCACAAAAAGTCCATGTTTTCCTTCCGTTATCTAACCGTTTGGCAAAGCCAAAATCCACAAGTTTAACATATCTAAAAAATAATACAACGAAATATTCTAAATCCATCAAAATCTATTAAGTATTATGGAACATTTTTTTTATAATCCAAAATTAATACATTAATATGTCATAATTTTTTAAATTTTTTCAAAATAATATATTATTTTATTATTATATAGAATATATTCTTACCCTTCATTATCCAAAAGTAAGTTTTCCGGTTTAAGATCTCTATAGATGATATTTCTGGAGTGCAGATAATCGAATGCTTCGACAACACATGCAGTATAAAAGCGTGTAGTACCATCATCAAAGTATCCCTTGTCCCTAAGAACAGTCCATAATTCGCCACCCAAGCAGGCTTCCATCAGCATATAAAGATATTTTCTATCTTTAAAAGTTTTGAAAAGCTTTACTACAAAATCGCAATCCGCTTCGCTCATGATCCTCTTTTCTGACATAATGTGCTGTTGCTGTCGTGTCTCGACGATCTGTGCCTTCTTCATTTGCTTCAGAGCAAAGGATCGTGTGCTGTCTCCGGCAATTTGGACTAATTCAACTCTTCCGAAACCACCCACGCCGAGAGTCGCAATAGTCCGAAGGTCTTGTAATCGTACATCCCGAAATTCCTCATTTAATCTAAAAAAATTGTAACATTTCAATATAATTGTTAATCGGTATAAATTATTTCTTTGTTAAATGTATATTTGCAAATTGCAAAGAAGCTTTTCTACATTTTCGCTATTTTTTTGTACTCAATTAACAATACTAATACTATATACTTTATTAACAATATTAATAATATAATTTTATGCTAATAAAAAATTATCGATATTATCAGTAAATTGATATCTGTTTTTGTTTTACATAATATATTTTTGTTTTTATTGCTGAACTTACTTGGAATGTACAGTTTATTGTCCCATCCTAATGTTTTAAGCGTGGAACATAATTAACATTTACAAATAGTAATTATATATAGCTATTTCTCTCTTTCTCTCTCTCTCTCTCTCTCTCTCTCTCTCTTTCTCTCACACAACCATACAATTTTAGAATATTTATCTATAAATCTAATTTCTGTATAGTTAACAAAAGATATATATACCTCCTACGTTCCACCAACTCGTCCCTGTATCGCGTTCGGATTTCATCCAAGGATGAGATTAATTGATTAAACGTTTCGCGGTCTATTACCAAACAGCTCACTCCTTCTGGATTGTCAGCGATAATATTAGCAGTTCTGAGATCATCTCTATAACGGTGAAGTAAATTAGCATATTTATATCTTAATCTTATTAAAGTGCAAAAATTGTATTTAAAAATATTACAATCTTGGGATAAGATATATTTAAACAAGACAATAACAAATGGACGTGGGATGTTCATGCTTTCACAATAACAAAAATCTTGAATAAAAATTGAAAATAATAATATTAATTATGCTCACCCTTGTAAAGCTTTCTCACCGAAGAAATCGCCTTTTCTTAAGGTTCTAATATATTTCTCTTCCGTTGTATCAGGCTGTTTTATTGTCACGCGTACTTGTCCTCTACTGATGATGAAGAACGTGTCACCCCTCGCTCCTTGTCTTATTATATAATCCCCATTGTTGTAAAACGTCTGTAAATATGAAATTAATTATCAATTATATAATTTAAAAGTAACGAAAGATATGTTTTGTCAAGAAAATCAGCTCGTACCTCTTCTAAAATATCCGAAATTTTGATTAGAGTTTCCTCGGGCAGGTTTTTGAAAATTGGCACGCTGAAACGTAAAATCATGCGTCAATTCTAAATGTATACAACGTAAGATTATTTCTACAAGTTTTTATTAGATATTCATAACAGGTTACTACACATAAGGTTATCATTTAATTTTTTTAACTTGCGAAAAGACTGTAATTCTCAACTCGCAGACATTACGTAAAAAAATATTTTATAGATAATGGAATATTTGTACGTAACGTTATTATCAGATATACAAATAAATATATAAATTCATACGAATTTATCTTTTAATAGTGCCTCATTAACGTCATTCATGATAATTTTGCTGTAAACTGAATTATTGAGGAAACATTGGATGACATTCGCATTTTACTATCTGTCGCGTTTTATACACACATATGTATATATAATATTATATATACTACTAGTATTCTTCATAATAATTATGTCATCAGTTACATCATATAAAAATTAACTGCACCACGTTATCGATCATTAAAATAACATCTGCACGGTTAATCGAGTTTTGTAACTGTCCAAATTTAGTCATTATCGTACCTTAAATTAAATCGTTCAAAATTTCGTCGTTAAAAGTTGAAATTGCAGATATAATCTGCAAACGCGGAACTTTATATTCCTAGTGCAATGGCAATAAAAAACGATCCGTTATTCAAAGAATATTCGATAATTCTGAGAGCGTAAGATATACTAAAATATAATGACATAATTTTTAAAAAATACCAATTTTATAATGAAATCGTGCTCGAGACACAAAGCATACTTGAAGACGATAATGATCACATAAATAAATCAGAATAAGAAATTTATTTACTTAAAAGAAACTAAAATCGGGGATATAGACTGTAGACGCAGAATTTTACATTGTTATTGTTATTAGAATTGTTATTAGAATAAAAAGCGAATCGCTATTCAAGAAATGTATAACAATTTTAAAAAAGACAAAAAATATCAATTTTTAGAAAATCTAAACTTTAAATCTAAATTTTATCGCGGAATTTTGTTTAAAACAACACTTATTTAAAGACAATGATCAGCTTAAAATTTGTCATGATAAAAAAAAAAACATTCAATTATGCAAGGATATATCTGACAGCATTAGATTAAAGTCCATCAGAAAAGTTTAAGTATCATATTGATTTACCTCTTTAAGAAGTCCGTGTATTCAGCCTGTCTCGAGAGGCCGGTCCTCATCATAATGGTTTGGAAGCACTGACGGTCGATGGCCCATAATTGGCAATCAGTCGCAGCAGTAATCGTTGCTGTCCTCTTGCAATTGTAAAGAATCGCGAGTTCACCCAACACTTTACCATGTTGCAAAGTGCTGAGATATTTGCCGTCCCTCGACACCTCGACCTTACCCTCTGAAAAAGAATTTCAATCAGAGATCAGAGATATAATCTCTTGCTATACGATGACTGTGAGATACTATTGATATGAATTTGAAATCATTTAAATAGTTTGTGCTGCTGAACGATTAATTTCGAGATCGGAATTTAATCGTCAATATTCATATTATATTTATCATCTTGATTATGTATCATCTTATACCATATTTGTTCATATCAAAATGCTACTTAATTAATTCGATTATTTCGATTTTTCATTCACGAACAAAATTAAATTAATTGTTATCGAAATTGCTAAATTTTCTCGTTCAGCTTGTAATTACTAGAGAAGATTAAAATTATGTTATCCAGTTAGAAATATATGCTATTCAATAGACCAGAACAAAATTCTGTAATTGAAAAATTGATTGTTTATCTCTCTCTAAAACCAGTATCAAAATTAATTAATATCTTAAGAGTTAATCCAGTCGTCCAGTGACCATCGACGTGTTTAATAAAACTAGAAACGTAAAACAGTAGCTCTTGTCAAGATATATTTGCGGACTATACAAATATTCTAACTCACGTTCGATTTTCTTTGCTTTGAAAGCTATGGAACACGTTCTGAATATTAATAATCAATTTTTACGTCGCGCAAGTCAGGTGACATATTCCTGATGATTACTGAATTTACTTTCTAAATCAATTAAGAGTACGTCGTTACTTTTTTAAGCATGTCAACACTCATTCATGTCTTATTGGGAGGACTTGATGACTCCTTAAAAAGATTGCTTCGTACAATGTTAAGTCACAAGCTCGCAGACTGCTGTGCAATTACATGTTTTGAATATATGCTATGTGACATTCTCTACTAACATCTTTCTAGTATACAGTTGATTATACACTTTGGACTATCTATTGTAAATGCATTATCTATTATAACTAATATAGATGGATGATCTTTGGATTCATATGTTGTAAACATTTTCCAAAGTGTCACATCTCATTTTCATCTTAGAATTATCGTCTTAATTTTAGCTCAGGAATATGTCACTAAAATTAATGTTGCGAGATGTAAGACATCCTGTATATAGGATTTGCTAATGCAACAATGGTAATAACTTTCAATCACATTTCTTACAATCTCATAATTTGTCTGAAATTCTTTATATTGTATTCTTTCCTTACTAAGATAAAATGCTATGAGTATCTGTAATAGAAACACAATATTAAACAAAGTATCTTTAAGACCGTAATGTGAATACACAACTAACAAATAGGACAAACCCTAAACGATCAAGCCATAGTTTCATTCAATACTTATAATTATATAATTCAATGGGAATTTACATATTCATATATCCAATCCTGTAAACTGAACGCCGAATTGAATTTTCAGTCTTGAAACGCAATCCTAACAGAACTAGAGTAGTAATATCACAAATTAAATTGATAATCTGTAATATAATTTTAATCGTGCTCACGCGATCTATCATGATTTTATAATGCGACATTACATATTAGTACCTTTCTGCATAAATTGCGGAGGAAATATTATATACGATTCTCTTCTTTAGAACTAAATATAGAGGAGTCGGATCAATCAAGAGAGGATCTAGGCATCTAAGCGGATTACGCAAATCAAAGTGGCCTTCCTTTTTTTATCGCCATATCATTCGTCGCGAACTCAATCGAGTTCGACATTGCGACAGGATAGTCCACGGCCACGTATTGTCCCGCGAGCGTTGCTTTCACTTCCTCGCGCATAACGCCTAGTACGAGTCACACACAAGGGACTCCGAACCGGTTCCGTTACCGATCGTGACTCGCGCGAGATGGATCGTATCTTTCGCCATCGAAGTTAACCATCGAGTTAAGCGGCGGCTATTAATAAGCACGCGCGTCGGGTATGCTCCCGTCTCGCGGAGAATGCCCCCGTACGATGTCCTGTTTGATTCCATGCATCCGTTAGCGGCAATTTGCCTTTGAGACAACGCGTCTCATCGACACAGGCGGTCTTGTAACATGCGTACGTTATGAGTCACGAGGTACAGTTGGACCTCCGTATTCTTGAGATCTTATTGAGATCGAGCGATTTCTCTATTCTTGGAGCTCCGCTATTTCCTCACTGCAGTCGTACTGCCAGAAATCGCGCACAGAAAGAACAATTCTACTGAAATACGTACTAATCTAGCTGGATCTAGCAAATCTGAAAATAATTTTGTTGGACTATTCACAAAGTAATTATATAAGAAATTTATAAGCATGATGAAGAATGTGCTGCAACAAGATTTGACATTTTAATAATCAGCTTGAGCGTTCCTACAGAATTATTTTGATAGTCCGACAAAATTATTTTCAGATACGTATCTAGCTAGATTTTTTTGATACTCCAGCAAAATCGTTTTCTTTCCGCGAATTCTGTTCTTTGCACTTGAAATAAATCAGTACTTTCATACATATAGATCGCATTTGATAATATATTGTATGTGTAGATTGTTAAAATATATTTTCTCTTTTTATTATCCTACATTACATCTACGATGTTGTTCTCTTCTCTCTCTCTCTCTCTCTCTCTCTCTCTCTCTCTATGTATTTTTTTATTTTTATGTATTTCTTTTCTTTAATTCTTATTTTAACATATTATTTATTAATAATAATTCTAATTTTTTGTTATCTTATTTTATTTATGTACATATTTTTTAATTTTCTATGTACTTTTATATTTTTTTTTTCTTTATTATTATTATTCACTGTATGTATGTCCTTAGAAGGCTTGCTCTAGAACGATATAAATGCTCTATCTAACTATCTATCTATGTTAATGAATATATACTAGTACATGCGATTCTCAGTACATGTCTCACGTTCCACAGATAATGGATTATGATTTATGATCGCCGATCAAGATTTATACCAGTCAATTGTCGATTCACAGATAAAAAAAAAGTTTTCTCAGAAAATTCCAGAAAATCATTGATAAGAAAAGCATTTAATCGTTCGAGACGTGAAGTAAACTATTAAATGAAAATAGATCAATGACGCGTGCTTCTTCTTACAGATTTTATTTTTGTTAGTAGACATTCGCGAAGTTGTATGAATTTGCATACGTGATAAAAGCACATATAATAGAAGCTGATATGATCGCTTTTGTATTAACGACTACGTGCCCTAAATTCAGAACAATAGACTATAAGATGTGCAAATTCGCGCGTTATTTCCACGATGATCGCGAAGATAAATCGGTTTAATTACAACTTTAGACGATTTATAATTTATCTAAAATAAACTATATACAATACCGTGTTTATTGATAAATTTCGGTATTATATCTATTTTTTAAATGCAATATTGCGCATCAATTTAAATAAGACTAATTGTAAAGACGAGATATTCATAGTCCGTTCTTATTTCAAGTTGTCTTAAGTAACGTCTTAAGATGCTAGTTCTGAGATATGATTCTCAGTTATGATTCAGTAGTTGGTTTATGACATCTCAAAGCCTTGTTCCACTAATGTAAAATTAACTTTAATCTCGGTTTAACTTACTTATTTATCTTTCTTTTTAATTCTTAGAATTAGAACCGAGATTAAAGTTAATCTTACCTTAGTTATCAATGGAACCGAGCCTTAAAACGATAGTAAATATAAGAATCGATTATCGAACATCTGCTTAAGACTTTCTTCTTTATTAATATAGCATAAAATTATACTTTTTGAATTATAAAATTTACAGTAATTTTATGCTGTAAGTATGGAAATAGATGAAAATTGTATTACAAAATCACTCGTTTAGAATGCGTAACTGCAAGAAAGTCTAGAAAACTCGGAAAATATTGATAATGCTTGCGTGCGCGTATTACAAGCTTTGGAAAGTGTACATGATTGCAATGCTAATGAAGAAACAACATTGAGATTTTGAATTGCGTGCCGCGAAACGACTATAAGATTATAAGTGGAGGATGCCAACGATTAAGCTATAATACATGTAGTTCACAACATTCGATTACGAAAATTTTTGTAATTACAAAATATGATGTAAAATTAAATATTTTTGCTATACGTAATTAACTAAATTAAATAATTAGAGAATTTCTGAAATAAGATTTACAAGAGTCTCTGAATAGAATAACATTTAAAAATACTATGATAAACACACACACACACACACACACACACACACACACACACACACACACACACAATTAAATCTTTCAAATATTGTATATAATAACTATTCTTCATAAGATTACTATCAATAATCGAAAATAAAATAAATAAAAGTTGTCCTTCGATACGAGTATTTTAGGTTCATTATTGCTCACGCGTCTCTCCATTCGAGAAAATAAAAAAGCAAACTCGACAAATGGCATCTCCCTCATTAATGTCAGTTATCTTGCGTAAAACTATTGTGCTCTCATGCACACGATTCGCACAATGAAAAACCTTTCGATTTGATTGCTGACGAGAATAGAAGCGTCCAAGTTTGAATGCCACTTCGAGAGTCGCGGAACCGAATATCGGCAAAGTCATACTCTTTGGTCTCTGCATGACTATTCCGTTTAATCTTTACGAATAACGTGCACCGATATTTATAGCGTATAGATAATTACATAACTACGCTGTGTGAAAGTCGAGAGAATTGTCCTTCGCACATCTTTATCACTTTCGCAAGAATAAAACAGCCAAGTCCATTGGTCACTTTCTGCGATGCGTTTCGAAAGAGGAAAAAAGAAACTCACGAGCATTCTCTTACATGATGCCCTGCTTATCAAAACGTAGATGTTCCTGATGTCTCATCGTTTCACCAAAACAATCGATTATGCACATCATTTGTTTAACAAATATTCAACGCTGCGCCGAGTACATGTTATAAGCCGCGAGTTGTCGATCTTGAATGACTACGTCGCGATTAATCACTTAAAAATATTCTACATCACCTCGTATTAATATTTACAACTCGTCAATATCGCAATGTCGGTTATATAATTATAAATTAAGATATCGCGTAAAAGTAGCGAAAGCGTTTGTCTATTG